CAATATATTTCCTTGAATTTAAATTTATTTAAATATAATAAAATAACAAAACATTAAAACATTGCGTTGGATAGAACCTGACTTTTTCACATCCTGTTGTAAGGAACTAAACTGACATCAATCTGGATTCCTGATAGGCGGAAAAAAGAAAATTATAAGACAAGAAATTAAACCTCAGTGTTCATGCAAATTAAGGCATGTTACGTCTTGCTGTATGAGAAAGTGTCATGCTTAGTTATTAAACACCGTACATGCTTTGTCATGCTACTTTCTTTTTTCCTAATTGTGAATGTGAACAAAGGTATATTAATTCAAATTCTGATTTCTTATTTTTTTTAATTTATCGCCTGAAGTTGAAATATTGAAGTAAATCCATAACACTAGAAGTATCATTGGCCTGGACTAACAATACAGGTGTGGCCACAGGTAAAACATGTCATTTCTTATTTCACATTGTCACATTCCTATCCTGTGTCAGAGCTATGCAGGGTTATGGAGAAATACAAGTTAAGTATCGCTAAACTTCATTTTCTCTTTTCAACAAATATTCAAGAGCTAAAACTGAGTTCAATATAAACAAAGAATTTCATTTGGTCATTTAGTCAATGATTGTTTGCAAATACAATTTAGACCACCCCTGACCTTGAATACACATGTACTGTCGTCCCCCCTGCCTCCTTGACCCTGGGTCAAACCCTCAACTCCGGGTGATATATATATGTGTGTATTGAGAGGGTTTATCAGACCTAGATAACCCTGGCAGTCACTCTGTAGGGGGTGCTGACATCACTTGATAACACAGGTAAAACACTGTCAACATGGATTTCTCTATGTCCCCCAAATGACATGGGCCCCCCGGTGTACCCACTAATGACAAAGGCCACCCGGTGTACTCCCTTATGACATGGGCTATCTTGAGTACCCTCTAATTAATGAGATAGGTCATCTGGTCTCTCACCCCCAACCCACCCCCACACACACCAATGATAATTCCCCACCCCAATGACAATTGCCAATGACAATTCCCCACCCCAAAGACAATTCCCCACTCCAAAGACAATTCTCCATCCCAAAGACAATTCCCCACACCAATGACAATTCCCCGCACCAATGACAATTCCCAACACCAATGACCGTTCCCCACCCCAATGACAGTTCCCCACCCCAATGACAATTCCCCACCAAAAAGACAATTCCCCACCCCAATGACAATTCCCCACCCCAAAAACAATTCCCCACCCCAAGACAATTCCCCACACCAAAGTCAATTCCCAACACAAAAGACAATTCCCAACACCAAAGACAATTCCCAACACCAAAGACAATTCCCCACCCCAATGACAATTAGGTTACTCTGGTGTCCCTCTCCCCCTTTCCCCTCCACACAACTGTCCATCCCTGAACACCTACCCCTCCTGACACCACCCTACAAACTGACTTTATCTACCAGACTGTGCACTGCCTTGAGATGAACGATACATGCAGTTCAAAGCATGGCTGTAACAATACTCTACATTATGAACCATATCATGATAGGAAGGTTGTGACACACGACACCATGCATTCAACACAATGTCATCAAGCTGTGTCCCAACTTCAAAGTAACCTACAACATATACACAACACTAGGCCAGTGGTGTAGCATAGGTCTTTTATCTATTTACTGGTTGGTTTACAAAAATGTCGGCCAAAAATTCAATAAAGGTAGCAAACAAAACTAGAAAAATATATTAGATTAGTACTGCTACCAATGAATGAAAAACAAACTCATAGGTTTGGAGTATGGTCGCAAAAGCATAACGAAACAAATTTATTGTTTTTTTTGTTGTTAGAATAAAGGAATCACAGACCATCAATAAGGGGATACAGTAAGAATATCAACTGTTGGATCCACACCCTGCTAAACATGCCTATATACTGTAAACAGGGATTTTTTTGCGACCGTTTTATCATTGCGAGTTTTGCGAAAGAGACTCAATCGCAAAAATTTAAAATGCAAAAATAAGTATAAATAATACATACATACTTTATTCATTGCAACACGTCATCAAATGTTGAAATCATCAACCAGAACCACAAGTTACTCAATAAGTTAAAAACACAAATGAATGCACAATGGTCACACAATACATCACAAATGACAGTGTAAACAGACCATTCAAACTCACAGTCTTGACACTGAGTTGAGTCAATTATCGTATTTGATAATTGGTCGCAATCCCTTCCGGTCAACTTTCCAGCCAACTCAGATTAACTAGCTTCGGAGAGAAGCTGTCTATTGTTTGGTAATCGAGGGGTCATCTCAACACGGCAACTCGCAAAAATATCTCGTCACAGTATTGTCTTTGGTGTGGTATTCGCAATATTTTAACGACGCAGAAATAAAGCTGTTTACAGTACTGTGATATGAAATGACTTGCTGCATCACATTACTGTTAATGTTTTCAATCTTATTTCAAAGGATTTTTAATTTTGTGGATAATGAGTGAGTATATCATTTTGATCAAACTGGATACTCTGACACAAGATGAATATTATAAGTCCTGCAATAACTGTGCTGAACACACAAAAGTCAGCATAACATATCATATTGTCAACAAGGAGGTACAGTGTGGCCAGGGGCGGGCTTTACAGAATGATATACACAGTGGAAAGACTTAACCCTGAAAACAATATCATCCTTCATCATTCCAGCACTAACCATCATCTCACTGATCTGCACGTCATCCGTCCCTGATGGCTGCAGGGATAGGAATGTGTACGCAAGGCTTATATCCTACCTAAATATTATCCCGTGGGAAGTTTTACTCTAGAGTATAGGATAGAATAGGATTAAACACACTGGTATTGGTTCAAATTCACTAGGGAGAATCATCCTGACACTAGAGAATTTCATCCCTGGGATAAAAAATAGGGTAGGATAATTTTCACTCTTACAATTGCAGTGGGTTTCAGATAGAGAGAAAGCCAATCTGTCATACATGCGTAGTATACGTTTCTGTGCATTATAAACTGTGTTCAAAATATTGTGTTTTCTAAGCAACCATCACCTAAGTTGACTGCATCACTGGCTGCCATTATTACAGTTACCTAGGTTACTGATTCCTGGTCATCTTGTGAAAGTTACACAGAAACTGCAGGACTCAGTAGAACTTCTGCAAACCATCTTTGTGCACTGAACAGTGGGAGATGGGTGATGATGCTAACGCAGTGAGCACTGTGTGGCTTCAGATGGGTGACGATGCCAATCCCATTAAAATCAGATCTAAGTTCTTGCTGCCGCTAAACAAAGATCTAAGGACATCCCATTACGGGTCACATAAGAACAACCTTTAACAAACTTTGATGGACCACTGAAACGACTAACAAGAAGTCGACATCAGCCAATTAGGAATCAGCTTTCTGGTGCTTTACAGCACTCGCTTCAACCTGGCGACTTCCATTTCAGACTACACTTGAAAAATATGTTGACACAGTTCTCAATTAAAAGTTTGCACAAACGAACATTCTGGAATGTCTAATACAGTGGTCCCTCGCTACAACGCTACCAATGGGGTCCAAATAATTCATGGGCGTTATAGACGATGAGCCGTTTAACCGAGGCCGAGGCGGGGGAGCGCGCTCGGCAAATCTCAAATCATCAATATGTTTTATCTCACGTCACGTCAAAATAGTATATATTTTTATGGACCTAGATCTACCTGGAATATCATTCATTTATTAAATCTGTCACATTTCACAATGTCTGAAGTACGTATACCATTTCAATTTATAATTTTTTATTGATAAATTAAAAAATTATTCACTATTTCCCGCGATGTTATTGAAAATAAAATTCTCGGACACACATTTCGACAATGGGTCCGCATCGAACATGTCAAAGAGCAAAATAAAGACGTTTTAAGCAAATCTTTAAATATATTATACAAAGTGATAAATAAAATAAATAAATGTATATGGTTGTGATTGTAAGGCCACTTACTGTGCAATGCTTCCTTTGTTCAAATGTTTATCCCACGGAAGCAAGAGAGACAGACAATAATTTTGACGAAAACAGTCGTAGGGGCTGTAACTGTCGTTCGGAATACCCCGTGTTAACGATTTCAAGGTTGCATGATTAGAAAAAACATTCCAACTGTAACTTTCATGATCTGGTAAGCAACGCTTTGATTGGTCGGATGAATGCTTACCTAGAGAGCACTGAGCTGTGGGAGATGGGTAACAATGCTTACCTAGTGAGCACTGTGTGGTAGATGGGTAACAATGCTTACCTAGAGAGCACTGAGCTGTGGGAGATGGGTAACAATGCTTACCTAGTGAGCACTGTGTGGTAGATGGGTAACAATGCTTACCTAGAGAGCACTGAGCTGTGGGAGATGGGTAACAATGCTTACCTAGTGAGCACTGTGTGGTAGATGGGTAACAATGCTTACCTAGAGAGCACTGAGCTGTGGGGGATGGGTAACAATGCTTACCTAGTGAGCACTGTGTGGTAGATGGGTAACAATGCTTACCTAGAGAGCACTGAGCTGTGGGAGATGGGTAACAATGCTTACCTAGTGAGCACTGTGTGGTAGATGGGTAACAATGCTTACCTAGAGAGCACTGAGCTGTGGGAGATGGGTAACAATGCTTACCTAGTGAGCACTGTGTGGTAGATGGGTAACAATGCTTACCTAGAGAGCACTGAGCTGTGGGAGATGGGTAACAATGCTTACCTAGAGAGCACTGTGTGGTAGATGGGTAACAATGCTTACCTAGAGAGCACTGAGCTGTGGGAGATGGGTAACAATGCTTACCTAGTGAGCACTGTGTGGTAGATGGGTAACAATGCTTACCTAGAGAGCACTGAGCTGTGGGAGATGGGTAACAATGCTTACCTAGTGAGCACTGTGTGGTAGATGGGTAACAATGCTTACCTAGTGAGCACTGTGTGGTAGATGGGTGACAATGCTTACCTAGTGATCACAAAACAGTGGTAGATGAGTGAAGAATCTTACCTCATGAGCACTGAGCGGTGGTAGATGGGTGATGATGCTTGGGCGGTGTCTCACCTCAAACTCATTGGGCTGGGCCACCGTCACCCCATGGTGGAGCCCCTGTGGAAACAAGAAAGCATGTGTTGGGATCACAATTTTTTTTCTCTCATTTAAAATTTGCACACAAAAAATGCCTTTGTGAATATCACATTTTAGGATGTGATGACATGCAGTGGGCCTGACTAGCAGATCCTGTTAGTCACCTCTTACAGCAAGCATGATCGCCTTTTATGACAAGCATGGGTTGCTGAAGACCTTTTCTCTGCCTGGATCTTCCTGGTATGACCTGGTTACAGTAATTCAACATTATGACCTTGTTTCAGTAATTCAACATTATGACCTTGTTTCAGTAATTCAGCACTATGACCTTGTTTCAGTAATTCAACATTATGACCTTGTTTCAGTAATTCAGCAGTATGACCTTGTTTCAGTAATTGAGCACTATGACCTTGTTTCAGTATTTCAACATTAGCACCTTGTTTCAGTAATTGAGCACTATGACCTTGTTTCAGTAATTCAGCACATGACCTTGTTTCAGTATTTCAACATTAGCACCTTGTTTCAGTAATTGAGCACTATGACCTTGTTTCAGTAATTCAGCACATGACCTTGTTTCAGTAATTCAGCACTATGACCTTGTTACAGTAATTCAACATTAGCATCTTGTTTCAGTAATTCAACATTATGACCTTGTTTCAGTAATTCAGCACTATGACCTTGTTTCAGTAATTCAGCGCTATGACCTTGTTTCAGTAATTCAGCACTATGACCTTGTTTCAGTAATTCAGCGCTATGACCTTGTTACAGTAATTCAGCGCTATGACCTTGTTTCAGTAATTCAGCATTATGACCTTGTTTCAGTAATTGAGCACTATGACCTTGTTTCAGTAATTCAGCGCTATGACCTTGTTACAGTAATTCATCATTAGCACCTTGTTTCAGTGATTCAGTGCTATGACCTTGTTACAGTAATTCAATATTAGCACCTTGTTTTAGTAATTCAACATTAGCACCTTGTTACAGTAATTCAACATTAGCACCTTGTGTCAGTAATTCAACATTATGACCTTGTTTCAGTAATTCAGCACTATGACCTTGTTTCAGTAATTCAGCGCTATGACCTTGTTACAGTAATTCAACATTAGCACCTTGTTTCAGTAATTCAACATTATGACCTTGTTTCAGTAATTCAGCACTATGACCTTGTTTCAGTAATTCAGCGCTATGACCTTGTTACAGTAATTCAACATTAGCACCTTGTTTCAGTAATTCAGCGCTATGACCTTGTTTCTGTAATTCAATCTTTAGCCTGTAGTCATTAAGGCTTGCTCCTACAGTATTTCAATCAAGGGATCCCCTAAATCATCAGTTTCTGACACTAGGGCCAGGGGAGGGGTCGTTGAGCACATGCCATTTCAATACACAGATACAACACAATCAATCAACTGATTAATAACAAAATCTAGTGACATACAATAGGCGTGTTTTTTCAAATTAAACACTTTATTACCTTTTGTTCCTTAATACCAGATATGAATACCATGTTAAATGCCAATCATCCTCCAATTCTACATGATCTCTAGCCGATTAACTTCTAAAATCATAAAAAAATATACACAAATGTCTTGAGGCATAGATAATCTTATATTTCCAGTTTACAAAGCAGCGATGTGTTTATTTTGTCCACATGGCTGTAGACTCCCTGTGCCATGCATACCGTAAAGCTAACGTCAGTTCTCCACACGTACCTTTGGCATACTTATCAGCATAAGATAACAGAAATGTACCTTGAAGTGATCTATTCCTGTTCAATAGCCAATACTGGGCAATAAAGTCTCTACACGGAGTTAATAAACACCATGAACATGTTGAAACAAATTCCACAGTTATAAAACCGATTTAATTGAACTACATTTTCAATAAAAAGCTATCAAAGTACTTCTTGTCTGCGATAGCAATCCAATTACAAACATCCTCGAGGAAGAGTATATTCCTACCCAACCTTGCACATTCAAGTTAGAGGGAAGACACACTTATTTTCCTAAACAATAACCGTTAGGCAACTCTCTAAAACAATTTGTTTACAGATCTAACCAACTGGAGACTTAAACCACAATCTTAAAATAAAATTAAAATTGTTTTAATATATTATATTTCCAATGCCATTTTATAATACAGAAAAAGAGAAAGACACAACTACAAATATACTGAAAAATTACAACAGTAACTATCAATGTTTTGACTATAATTGATCTAACGTATTCTCTGTTGTCTCTTGGCATCTGCAAAACCTTTTTAGACATAAATACATATGTGTACATATATATGTATACATATCTCTGCATAAACACTATACGAGTACATCCCACACTTCAAACTGTAATACCATATCTTTTTTTCCACTATACTGGCTGACTCAATTCAAGAAAAAAATGAGCTGCACAATATATTTTTACTTAGGATATAAATATTTCGTTTTGTAAGATTTGCGTGATGTTATGCTGAATGGATGTACGGAAATTTCATTTGAACACGACGCCGTTGATGATTATACATACACGGTGATGAGACCCCAAAAATTCAGCGATGTTATGCTCATTCGACAACACTTTTTAACCAATCAGATCAGAGAACATACCTACTTTTATGTTACAATCTTATTTCGAATGGCCCAAACTAAAAAAACTCTATTTCAATAAACAGAAAGAGTATATATATAGATATATAAATAACACATTACAGAGATCTTGGATGCATCCTGTTTATTTCAGATGACAGTAACAGCAGACTCTATGTAACTTGTCTTTTATGACAAATGATCCCATTTCTTTCTTTTAGAAATCGTCACGTAGAATTAAGCATGACCATTAACTCCACACGTGGAGACCCAGCCTTGCAATTCAATGTGCTACATCCACACAGTGGGGAGTCGTGCCTCTGTCAGCCTGGGGAATTATGTGTCTTACTCAATGTGGGATATACAAGCAACCACACGTCTTGATTTAAGTGGTCGCAAGACGACAAAAGGGTTTGTTTACACAGCCATCTAACCAATAAGTCGATGGCGTAATCGTAGACAGCAATAAGTTGAAAGACAAACAGAGTTCGGTTTCTGATATATCTGCCATTGTAACCTATAATGCTACCTAGCAAATGTTGCATAACGCAGTACAATGCCGTATGGGAACACTTTAAGTGTTATGCTATAGCCACACACTTCTTGTAGGCCAGGCGAATTCACTCACTGTACCCTGAGTTATCCTTGACTGAGTAGACACTAAAAGAAATGTGTCATGTGTATACCATAATGTACCATGTATGTACCATAACATACCATGTATGTACCACATAAGTACCATAGTTGTGTACAATGAAACAAATATTGCTTTCTTCCGGGAATAAGGCAATTATATTTCTCAACTGAATTTCAAGACTATGGGTTCTATTCCCTTGCACACATCCTGTCGTCTATCCCCTTGAAACTACGCCGACCATGGTGTGCAGAAGACATCCTTGTCACTGCCATCTTCCCGAGGCAAGTGAGTTAACTGACTATAATAGTCCAGTTTCCACTCTTGCTGAACCAGGCTGGTATTATGGAGTTACAATTTTGCTGGACTAAGAAGTCCAATCAAAATCGTGCAACGCAATCGAAATCCGGTTCGTAAACTGTCATTCAGATTTGCAGGATTTGCAAAGCATGTGAACCGCCAACTTGTTGTCAACAGATATTTTCAAAATCTTTTCATGTTTTTAATCAAGGTGCACACATGATTTGATGCATTTCGCGATGTAAGACCCATTTTATCACAATGTCGATCTTGATTATCGAGCAGATCGTCCTGACTTGGCGCCGCCATTTTGTTTGGAGCAAATGCAAGTGATATGGGGGTGGAATCTGATTGGTCCACAGGAGAGGCTTAGAAGGGACATAACTGATAATAGCCACTGGTGGCGCTATGATCGAGCCCAGTAATTCCAGCCTAGTTCAGCAAGGGTGGAAACTGGACTTTTAAAGTCAGTTAACTCTCCTGCCTCGGGAAGATGTGTCACAGCATGCACCTACATATTCACAATGGACTAACGCTGTGTTAATGACACAACTCAAGGCGCAATTTCCATGGCCCGTTTGGTGAACAATCGGACTCCCTGGTTAAAGTGGCTTTGATAAACTATTTCACTTGAGTCGCTTGTGTGAGGTCGACACGTCGTGGCCTAACTGTGTATCTGACAGATTGAAAATGGAAATCAGTCAATAGACTGACTCTTAAACTCTCCTTATATCCCTTCTCAAGCTCCATACTATTTCTTTCTGAAAAATTCTGCTTCATTGTCACTAGGTATAAATGCGTACTTGAGCCCTATGGAAAAACTTTATTTACATAGAATATTGGTTGCAACATTGAATATAGAGGTTTAAAAAAAACTTGTTTTAACATTTTACGTACATCCACTTTGGTATTTCCCAAGTTTTATGAAGTCAAATTATTTTTGCTGTTTGAAAGAAGAACCTGACATGTAATCTTACAAAAGTAACTAAGTATCTTGCAAGTGATTCCATGGCTTTCATTGACTAACCAAGCAATATTTTACATAAACCGAAGAACAATTATCCCACGCACACGAGCAGAATACTGTTTCCTGATTGGCTGCTTATAGATTGGGCGGGGCTTGTGTCGCATTATACTGCTGAGTGATGTCACTGATTTCGTATTGTTGTCTGCAGATTGTTTTTTGCAGAGTTTAAATAAGGAGTCAGTTTCTATTATTGATAGATATATTTATTTATATTATCTGTGAAGATCCGGGGTAGAATAGGTCTTCAGCAACCAATGCTTGCTGTAAAAGGTGACTATGCTTGTCGTAAAAAGCTACTAACGGGATCAGGTGGTCAGGTTTGCTGACTTGGTTGATGCATGTCATTGTATCTCAAGTGCGTAGATTGATGCAAATCACATGATGTTGCACACTGTTTTTTTTGTTCATCCTTTCATAAATGCAAACAATATAGAAGTTAATTCTAAATTACATTTAGTTCTTTAATGCAGTTTGAATGAAAA